TTATTGGTTACTAGGTCTATTGCTACAAAATTCAAAAATCTAGATCTCTGTAACATACACTTGTTTTCTTAAAATGCGAAACAACGGCAGATGGTCCCAAACTCCTTAAACCGTTCTTTGCACGGGAGATTTATGTCGCAGGCAAGGGGAAACGTGTTTATTTTGGAACCCTTATACTTTCACCAATTCAACCACAAACTGCAGAAAGTCCTGTGTATGTTCTAGCCCAAACCGTCTCCCTAGCAACCGCTTCAGGAAAAAACCACACACAAGCGCGTTGGCGATAACTATACTAGTAGCTACATATATCTCATATACGCTAAAGATGCAATAAAGACTGCCTATCTTACTGATACTGGAGTAAACGTTAACGCACTTCCTGTGAATTCTACGGATCGTTAAAACAAGCGCACACTCAATCTGCAGGCATCTAACCTCAAACTGATAGTCAGCAACTGAGAAAGATATATTCACATAAGGGCAGCCCAGACAGACCCATTCCTAGGCTATCCTCTTCGTAGAAGTTTCAGTGCTTACAAGTGGAAAGAATTTACAAGAACACCACTAGTAGCAGATAGATCTATGAAAACGAAGGTGTAGTTGAGAGGAGAAATAAATCATTTATTTCGGGTACACTTTTTCTGATCATGATTTTCCCCAACCCGAATTCAACATAAAATTTGCCTGTACTTTTAGCTTGTAAGGCGGTCATCAGGAACCCCTTAAAACCATCGACGGAGTCATATGTGGCCAATAGCTTTACGTAATACAGAGCAATCAAGGTTCCACCTGCATTTTTAAAGTGACGAATTTATCTGTCTTGAAAATACATAGAAAATGGGCAGATTTCCATGTGGGTTGCCAAGAATAAGAAGTAGCTAAACATGATAAATTTCCATGTTCCTTCTCTCTTGTCTTCCAAAACATGTGGTTCGTTACCTGGGGCGTTACTGCTAAGGCAGTGGCGTGCACGTGCTTTGTACAACAGAACTCAAACTTTTGTCGCCGAGCGATTATCTTGACAGGTTTTGAATTTTAAGTCAAACATAGACTATCTCACTGTTTATAACGAAAGTAGATGACCTCTGTCGGTGACTGAGGGCCTACACGAGTTGGATAGGATTGGTAAGCTTCTAGATTATGTCAAAACACATCATAAGATTAGAAGACAACATATATTACGCTTCCGTCGTATCCAGGTACTATGACTATCACGACAACCGTACTAAACTTACAACATTGTTACAGAAGTATATTGATAACAATAGATGTAAGGAATAGAGCGCGACCACTGCCGCATGAAGCAGTCGATGGTATGAAATTAACTGGTGCGTGTTTGTTGTCCTTGGTTTAATAAGAACCACTAAGCTGTTCGTTATTCAGCGTCATGACTGCCGTATGATTCAGCTACAACCCAGTCACATTTTACTAGTCATATCCTATGATTTAATACAGTCTTCAGCGACATATGATTACAAACGGATGCATGCCGTCCAAAACCAATCATATGTTGGAAAGATATATTGGATTAGAAGAACACTATGTATACAACGGACTTTTAGCCTCACTTAAATCACTGACCACTTGAAAGATTGAAATCACCCAAATCAATTTTATAACAAACGATAACGAAGACTTTCTAAGTTCCTCACTTCCTTTCGAAACACGTGCTGAGTTCTTTTATCTAGAACAACAACGACGTTAGGACAAACAACGTGACATTTCGATGACGAATTATTATTTTATAGATGCACGAAGTTTGATGATAAACAGTGCGCAATGACCTCATAGGATTAAGTCTCATTAGTGATAAAACAATATTTTACATTCGCTAGAATTCACTTTGATAAAAACCACTGATTTATCTTACAAAGAATTACTGATTTTGTGCATTGGAACACTTCAACACTAGCGCGCGTGTCCAATATATTTCAACGTGAGGTGATGGATGAGTACGAACATTACAACTACGAAGAGGATAATGTAGCGGGGTCTAAAGGCGGCAAAAACAGAACGAAGAGGGATGTTGAGGAACATCATAAAAAGTCGGAAAACAGGACAAATCGTATCCACATTGACTATCAAGTCAATAATGAGGAAAAGCAACGAGAACAAAATCTCAAGCACGGATCGGAGAATAGTACGTCTCCTTAATGCAATTAACCATTGTATTTCAGAAAAATAACCCTTTTCCCCCGTAATCACGTATACGTAATAAATTTTTTTAATGCAATTTGCTTATGAGATGTTCATACATTAGTGGTTCGTAGTCTTTTTGTAGCTGCATTCATTCGACAATACCGGTTACACTGGTCTTCGAGACACATTATAAAGTCTTTGAAATAATGTGCGACCAAAGTATTGAAGAATATATAAGATTCAGACGATATCAGTGTTTTGGAGACGGTAAACCTGAGTTAATATTTCCCCTATACATATCTGTGGATATTTAATCTTTTTCTAGATGAGTTAATAAGCGGCTCAGACTAATTTCGGTAGTAGCCTCAGAGGTCTGATTAACTGTTTTCTTTAAACTTATCTATTAGGATTCTTGATCGTTCCATCTAAACGTTACTTCCGGGTTATTATAGATTAGGTCGAATTAAACCATTTCTTAATGTCCTGGACACTGTAACTAGTCAATTTGTGGTAGGGTATTGTATAGAGTTGTAACTTTTTAAACCTGCTGCCTTGCTAGTTTAGTATCTGGAATCCATCCCCAATCTCCTATATTTGGGGTTTTTCCCGAAGTTGTAAGAAATGTGGCAGTTTCTCCATTGTGTGGGGAAAACCCAAACATTTTAGGGATTTCCCCCAGGCCTGGGGAAGTTTTTGTGCGTTTGTGCCATTTCCCCGAAGTTTCCAAATAATGCTTCCTAAAACAAACAAAATTTTTATCAAAATAGAGAAACTGGGTCGGATAATGATTCTCTGTACTTCTCCCAAAAGACCTAAATCGACTATTGGACATGGGGTTTTCAAATTTAGGAGGTAACTCAGAAATTCGATCATGCGAGGTTTAGTTAGTGTAATTTCTTCTAGCTTGGGGTTTACAAATATGAATTATGTTACGACTGGTTTACAAGTCGAACGACACAAAGTACATCATCAGGACGACTTTATTTTATGATGATGCTCTAAGCAGTCCCAGTAAGACTGTCCATTAACCAGAGAGATAGCACCAGTTGTCTTATTTGGTTTTGAAAGTCTCGAGAATTCATATGAACTAGGCCGGTATCTTTGTCTGAACGTCTAGAATAGGTTCATTTCAATTATTATTTCTCAGGGAAAAAGACTCACTTAGATTTCACTGGAAGACCTGCTTTTATTTTCGGGACTAATCACTAGAAGGCAGTACATAGTGGGTAATCAATAAAATGCATCCTGGGATCTTAAATGTCATACTTACTAGAAAGGGTTAGGTGCTGCATGGACGACTTTCCCACCAGTGTTATTTGAAGCTGTTAGTAATGATACCGTCAAATAGCCATATCATAAGCGTCGTTACAACGAACTTACGGGGTCGTATTCCATGTATGCCACGCATAGCCAACTACCCTGCTGCATACTTGTTCCCGAGTAGTATCAAATGGTCTATTCAACAGGACAAGAACTTTGCAGTTGACGGAAGTAATTTTCTGGATACGCGAGGCGTTCATTCAACTACTTCACTGTTAAAACGCACCACATACCAAGCATCTTCACTCGAGATATGATTAACGGAGATCTTAGATTGTTCAGTTGTATGCATTGTTAAGACATAACTGGATCTTCGCCAGTATATACTCTAGTGGGCGAGAAGTCAGGCATCAGATAATTCACAGGGAAGAATTTTTGGTGCAGTCTCATGTTTGTCGCCTATTATTTGAATATTTTCATAGCATAGGATAAATTACAGGTTAACTAAGAAAGATTGTGACTTGTTCTTTTGACCGGTAGTGGATGTACTTTGCGAAAATGACATTCTTACTTTAACATCGTCACATCTGTACACCCGCTTGTTGAACTTCGGCAAAAACAAATATTTATAGGGTCAGTGGCTTTAAATAGCAGATGAACTAGAAGCAATACCTCTGAAGAGACCACAATACTCATTAGGTTAGGCTTTCCGGTTAATCCCTATGGGGCGTTGTTTGGTGCTTCTTTGATGCTTTACACACGAGAGAACTTGACAGTAAGACCAGGTAATTGTTTTATCTGACATTGGTAGGTATTAATCAGACCCTTGTATCACGAGGCGATACGAAAATCCTCAACTCATCAATTCAAACAACTTTGGTTAGTGTAATAAGATGATTATTAGAACTATGCCCAAGTATGCATAGCATATGCCATCATTCCCTTCTGGAAAAGGTGGTGCACCCCCTTAGGTTTCATTATAATAAGGAAATATTTTCAAATGCATCTGCGAATTGTTTATTTGGGTGAGAGTTAACGATACCGAACAGAGGTGGTAAAGTCGGTCTTGAAAAAACGTCTTTTTCAAATGATCTACAATTTAGAGTCGTTGAAGTGCCGTTTTGTTCTTGGAGAATAGATAGTTTATCTTTCTCAGATACTCAGAATACAATGGATTGAATGGTTTATTAAGGGAGTGCAACATTATAAACGGTTGAGTCTTACCAAATATTACCAATCATTATGTAAGTCCAATCCTTACAGATTTCTCCATACTTACTAATTTAAGTTCATGTGAAGAATGACTTTCGGTAAATTGGCCTAGAAAAAGTAAGAAATATTGATCCCTATACATTGTTCCACACTGTATTTTTTGAGGCAGCAAAACTTTTGATCGTTAAACAGTTTGACATTCTACTTATTTATGTTTGGATATGAATGAGAATTATCAACATCGATGCGACAGCTTCCTTATGCAACGATATAACTTACTACTAAGAAGGAAAAACTTTAATAGGCATTTACACAAAGAATCGTAATGAGATAAAGTGTACAACAAGCATTGTCATCAAGCTTCCTAGAGTACTTCAGATCTAATTATTTTAAGGTCCAAACACACCAACACACGCCGGTCTCAGAGGTCGTCCATGTAATTGATAACCTACTTTTGTTACCACAGCGACTGTATTCTTTTCTTTTCCAGCTTCCAAAGGAGCTTGGAACACAGCTTCATGAATATTTGGGTCAAAATGTTCACCAACTTGTGGAGAAATCTGGACTAAGTTATAGCGGGAGAAAACCTAATGTGTAACAAAAAAGAAATATTTAAATCTTAGCTATGATAATCGAAAACCGGAAGCTACTATAACCGTTTTTATTTTGTCTAATGAGCTTTATTAGATGGTTGTGATATCCCATTATAAGTTTGGATTATAAAACAAATGGTGCAGTTATAATAAATTCATTTTGGCTCATCGCATTTATGGTTAAGCTAATGGTGAAACGATTGCACTTATAAGTGAATCTAGTTAGCGTTTGTCAGTTATTTTATACCATGCTGAAGTTTAGTGGGCAGTAAATATATAGTACACATTACGCCGCAACTAATATCTGTTCAAGACAAAAGTTTGCTGCTCGTCAATTATGCTCATTTCGTTACCGTATGTAATTGGATTAGGTAGGTTGAACGAAGTGAGTACATCAACACACATGTTTAACTCACAGCGACCTAACACCAGGGAAAATATAATTAAGCGAGCAGATAATAACTAGATATTACAGAAAGCACACAGAGGAATTAGTTTGACAAATATAGTGTCTAAAATATTAGCTTCAATAATACTTCGACGCCTAATCAAAGCTCGTGAAGAGCAGACTAGAGAAAATCAGGCTGGTTTTCGACCTGGACGTGATTGTATAGATCAGATATTCACACTTCGTCAGGTTCTAGAACACAGACACACATTCAGATGCCCCACAATGGTATTTCTTGACCTCTGTTGATCGTGAGGTTCTGTGGCAGTGTTTGTCACTGAAAGAAGTACATTAACCTTATAAAAGCTCTCTACTCGAACACAACTGGGAGAGTGAGAGCTTATGGCGAACTGTCATCAGAATCGATTACCTCAAGTGGTGTTCGTCAGGGCTGTCCACTCTCTCCATTCTTGTTCAACTTTGTGGTCGACGTACTTTTGGAGATAACACTCTCCTCATCTAAATTTTCAGGGGCTGAACTTCTACCGGGAGGTTCACTTGTTGACTTAGAATATGCAGATGACATAGTTTTATTTGGTGAAGACGCTGACAAAATGAAGAGTCATCTGACCACTTTAAGCAACAATGCAAGCATGTTCGGGAGGCGATTCTCTCCCTCGAAATGCAAAATGTTGCTTCAGGATTGGGTTACATCGACACCCGAACTAGTGATAGGGAGTGAAGTAGTTGAGTTTGCCGACCGCTTCACTTATCTTGGAAGTCTCATCAGCCCTTGTGGTCTGGTGTGTGACGAAATCCCAGCACAGATACAGAAGGCTCGACTAGCTTTTGCCAACCTGCGTCGTTTATGGCGTAGACGAGATATCCGTCTATTAACCAAAGGACGTGTTTACTGCGCAGCAGTTCGTTCCGTCTTACTTTATGGCAGTGAAACATGGCCGGTAAGAGTAGAGAATATCCGTAGGTTACTAGTATTTGATCATAGGTGTCTTCGAAATATTGTTCGTATATCCTGGGACCATCGAGTAAGTAATGCAGTTGTTAGGAAACGGGTACTAGGTAAGGATGGCAAGTCGATTGATGAAGTGGTGAAACTTCATCAGTTGAGATGGCTGGGACACGTGTTACGTATGCCCAACCACCGACTGCCTCGATGTGCGATGTTTTGTTGTATAGGAGTAGATTGGAGGAAAGCTAGGGGCGGCCAGACCAAAACATGGCACAAGTCCATGAAGTCACTGACAAGTAGACTGAGTCATATTGGTAGGTGTAGACTACCTGGTTAGGGACCGCGAGATGATAGCAACCGATGGTTAGAGACCCTGAATGACATGGCTCAAAATCGTTTGCAATGGCTCAGGTGCATCCACTCTTTGTGTTCTCCCAAATTCTAATCTCCTGAATCCTCCTTGTTTCTTTATTTTTCTCTCTCCAAATTTATTTCACTGGATTATATTATTTAAATAACATGTTCAAACCCTAATCTTTCCGATTCATGCTTATACTCTTACCACCTCTACCACTGCATCTCTGTGCTAATGTGGTGTGGCAACTCGAACTGATGTACGTACGTACGAAGTTCTACGTTGTTACTGACTGACTGACTGACCGACAGAAAGCACACAGGAACAACGCAATTATAGTGTATACTTTAAACCGGTGAAATACCATGAGAGTTGCTGGGGCCTGAGCTTGTTCTTGAATTTGTTGATAAACCACTAGTAAGAGTCCATGGTAATCAAGGGAGTATCATTAAAAGTGGAGAAGTCAAATTTGGATGTGCCAGACCCAGTTTCTCTCTGAATTACCACTATTACTATATGAAGCTCCGAATGAATTTTAATTATGCCTAGTACTCCGCGCCGAGGGGCATAGGCCACCCGCCAGGATTCTTAAATCAACTCTGTTCTGGGCAGTCATTTTAAATTGCCACTCATGTTCTAGGTGTTTGCTTCCAGTTCCCGACGCAGTGTGTTCTTTGGCTTGCCTTTCTTTTTTTCTTTCAGGATTCCAAGTTACGGCTTGTTTCGTGAGACAGTCTGATGATTCTCGCAATATATGTCCTATCCACCTCAGACGTATTTTCTCAGTTTCTTCAACCGGAAGTTGGTCTGTTTTCTCGCATAGTAGATTTTAGCTGATGGTATTCGGTTTGTGTAGACAACTGTCTATAAATACGTCTATTTTTTTATGGTACTTGTGGTAGCTCTACAAGTTTTAGCTCCACACAGTAGAACTGTCCGGACGTTTGTATTGAAGATTCTGACTTTAGTGTTGGTTGACAATTGTTTGAGTTCCATATGTTCTTCAATTGTAGAAATGTCACCCTTCCTTTAGCAATCCTTATCTTCACGTCTGTATCAATGATGCCGACCAGATATGTGGAAGTTTCCACGCCTTTCAGAGCTTCTCCATCAAGTGTGATTGGGTTGGTGCTCTCCGTGTTGTATTTCAGGGTCTTGATTTTCTCCTTTGTGTACGTTGAGACCCGCTGCTGCTAAATTGGCTGTTTCCACTTGCGTTTGTTAGTGTATATAGGGTAGAAGAGCTAAGTCATCTGCAAAGTCTGAATCGTCTAGTTGCATGCAAGCTATCGATTGTACTCCGTACTTCCCCTGAGACGTGGATGTTTTCCTAATTCAGTCGACCACCAGAAAAAAGGTGAAAGTAGACAGCCTTGTCTGACATCGATCTTTACTTGGAATGCATCTGTGAGCTATTATCCATGCACGACTTTGCAATGTAATCCGTCGTATGAATTTAGTATGATGTTGACGATCTCGAATGCCCCCCCCGAATGCCCTGGTATGGCCGAGAGTGGGGTGGGCCCTCCCTCCCTCTCGAAATGCTCTCACACAGCCACGCGTATTAAGCTCCTGCCAGGGAAGTCCTACTCACTGCCTTCTCGTGGCGGGGGTGTTGTTTACGAAAATGAGAGGACGAAAAGCGAATGTCCGGCGCTTTAACCGGATCCCAAACCAATGGTGCACATGGGCTCCAGTACCCTGCGGGAACAAATGGCGTATGAACCAATCTTTGGCCACCGGCTACCATGGGATTGCATCTCCTTACGATGCTCCACTGCCTTGTGGGTCAGACCTTGAGGTCAAAGGCTCGGGGTGTGGTCCCCTAAGATAACCACCTGCTTCGGTTTGGGCACCCAGGCAGTATCACAGCCCACACACAAACGATGAACTCTATGTCTATGGCAACCACTTTTCTCGCTCCGAAAAACAATCAGTCGATTCAAATAATTATCATTACTATTATTGTCATTATTAATACTATTATTACTACTATTATTGTCATTATTATTATTATTATTTTCCACATTATTCACCCTCTTTTATACTTATACAGCGGCTCGTCTTTGGTGGAAATCCGACTGTATCTAAACGTTCTCGAGTCACTGTCCGGTTGAAAATTGTATGTTACCATCGAATATGAGTACTGAAGCAGTTTTTCTGAAACCACGTGCGCCATTCAAACTGGCTGCCTTCAACGTTCGCACACTTATGCAGGTTGGTCAACAGATAGGGCTGGCTATGTCTTTGGAAAGTCTTAATATTGATGTTTGTTGTCTATCCGAGACCCGTATTCAAGACTCTGGCGAAGTACTACAAATTCGCTCTACATCTGTCACTTCAAAAAGCTTGTTTTACGTGCGCTTATCCGGGGACCCTGTGGCATCTTCGTCTGGTCTTGCAGGCGTTGGTGTCGCACTAAGCGCTAGGGCTGAGGCAGCACTAGTCGATTGGATCCCCATTAACAGTCGGTTATGTGCTGTTAGATTAGAAAGTTCCATCAAAGTGAGAAGAAATCGGCGTGAGAAACGATGTCTTTTCGTCATCTCCGCCTATGCCCCGACAGATTGCAGCCCGGATGCAATCAATGATGAGTTTTACAACCAGTTATCTGTTCTTCTCCAGAAAGTGCGTTCGACAGATATTGTAGTACTAGCCAAAGACTTGAATGCTCAGGTCGGGCGTCTAGGCACAGAAGAGAGTAGTTTAGGTGGCCGATGGGGACTCGTTGGTCGCAGGTCAGATAACGGGGACCGTCTACTGCAACTGTGCACAGACCACAACCTGTTTCTGGCTAGCACTAACTTTCGGCACAGTCATCGCCGATGTGCCACCTGGCATCCTCCCTCTGTATCCCAAGCATGGACTCAGATTGATCACATCGCGATCAGCTACCGCTGGCGTGGTTGTGTACAAGACTGCCGCTCCTTTTGGAGTACCTATCTGGACTCTGACCATGCCTTGGTCTGCGCCAATCTTGCCTTACTTTTCAGTGGACAACGAAGTGACCGCCAGCAAAGGATTGATATTAGCAAGCTGGTTACAAATAAGTATCGAACCGAGCTAGCCTCTAGGCTAGCTACCACTCCACCGAAAAGTATAGATGAGCATTGGTTGCAATTGCATGACGCCATGAAAATGGCGAGTACAATCAGTTATGGGTTCGCGAAACGTCCCGCTTTTAAGCACTGGGTTTCTTCTGGTTCCTTACAACTCATTGAAGCCCGTCGGTCTACTCCGGGTGACCGTGAGTTTGACCATAAACGAAGGATGTTACGTGAGGAAATTGGGCAAAGCTTGCGTAAGGACCGAGAAGCCTGGTGGTCGAAGCGTGCTAATGAGCTGGAAGCAGCAGCTGCATCTGGTAACTACCGGAAGCTCTTCCAGCTCATCCGAGCCACTGGCAGCAAGAAGTCTGGTGTGAGTGAAACAATCTGCGAGGATGATGGGATGCCAATCACTAACATCCATCGACGTCTTGGACGGTGGGCAGAATTTTTCGAAGGGCAGTTCAACTGACCTGCTGCTCCGGCAACATCGGTCAGACTGTCCTGCCCTCCATGGCCGGTGACGACTGATCCACCAAACGAGGAGGAAGTCCGCAAGGAACTCCAACTCTTGAAGCGTTACAAATCACCTGGCCCAGATGACTTACCTCCGGCTCTTTTTAAAGATGGTGGTGACTTTTTGACTAAGGAATTGACGACATTGTTTACAAAGGTTTGGGAACTAGAGAGCGTACCAACGTCATGGAATGAGTCGATAGTTGTCCCTATCTTTAAAAAGGGTTCACGTCGTTCCTGTAACAACTATCAGGGGATAATTCAATTCCGATTGCGTCCAAGCTATTGGCTTCCATCATACTTCGTAGGTTGTTCAAAACCCGAGAAAGATTGACTCGCGAGGAGCAGGCTGGGTTTCGTTCTGGTCGAGGATGTATTGATCATATCTTCACCCTCCGCCAAATGTTAGAACATCGCCACACTTATCAAAGGCCAACAATCGTAGTGTTTCTTGACATCAGGGCTGCCTTCGATTCGTTGGACAGAACTGTTCTCTGGGATTGTCTATTGAAGAAGGGTGTGCCTGAGAAGTTTATTAACATCCTAAAAGCCCTATATAAAAACACCTCAGGCAGAGTGAGGGCATACAACCACCTCTCTCCATTGTCCTATTCGAGCAGTGGGGTTAGGCAGGGTTGCCCAATCTCACCATTCCTCTTCAACTTTGCCATCGATGACATTCTGGAAACAGCTCTGATGAATGTAAGTAATGGTGGTGTGAATCTGTTGCCTGGAGAAAGACTTCTCGACCTTGAGTATGCGGACGATATTGTCTTACTGTGCGATAATGCCCAAGGCATGCAATCCGCACTTAATCAGTTGGCAATCAGTGTCCGTAGGTACGGTATGTGCTTTGCACCTTCGAAGTGCAAAGTACTCCTACAAGACTGGCAGGATTCTAATCCTGTACTCACCCTGGATGGTGAGCAGATAGAAGTAGTCGAGAAGTTCGTGTATCTGGGTAGCTACATAAGTGGTAGTGGGGGTGTGAGTGATGAGATCAATGCACGTATAGTGTAAGCCAGAGCGGCTTATGCCAACCTGGGCTACCTTTGGCGCCTTCGTTATGTTAGTCTGGCTGTGAAAGGTCGGATCTACAACGCGTCGGTGAGAACAGTTTTGCTCTATGCTTGTGAAACCTGGCCTCTCCGAGTTGAGGATGTTAGACGACTCTGTGTTTGATCATCGCTGTCTCCGAAGGATTGCTGACATCCAGTGGCAACACCATGTTAGTAATGCAGAGGTTCGGCATCGTGTGTTTGGGCACAGAGACGGTAGTGCAATTGGTGTCGCCATCTTGAAACATCTACTTCGGTGGCTTGGACATGTTCCACGAATGTCATTCTAGAGAATTCCACGTCGTGCATTATTTGCCGACTCTGGGACTGGTTGGAAGAAGCGGAGAGGTGGTCAGTTCATGACATGGTGTCGTGGCATGAAAGAAAGCTGCAAAGGACTGGCTTGTGTTGGTCCTTCACGACTCCCTGGTTGGGGTTCGAGAGATGGTGCTACACAGTGGCTAGAGACGTTATCAGATATGGCTCAAAATAGAAGCCAGTGTCGATCCTGCTGTAACCTTCTCTTACTTTCTTCATAAAAGTGGTTCTGTCTCCCTTACCTGAAAGATTTCTTCCGATTGTACCTTTGCGTTCCCTGATTACTAACACATTACCTTACACCAACCTCTTCGTTATTGTTCTCTCTTTTTTTTGTTGCGCTCCTTAGCTCTCTTGTACCAATATTCATGTGTCCAAATAAATAAGTAAATAATGACGATCTCATCAGGTACATCATGGTGCTCCAAATGGAAGTATAAGTAAATTCACTATTTTGAAACTTCATTGTCGTTTATATAGCTTTGTAGTGTACAGTCTCGTGGCGTTATTTGAATGTTTATTATTTATTTATTTGAACACATAAATATTGGTAGGAGGCATCAGATACATACGCGCAACACAGACCAATGAGAATCGGAAGAGGAAAAAGGAAGGTAAGGAGCCGAAAACGTCAACTGGGTTCCTACAAATGATGTTTCAGTTATACCTTACACTTATGACTGGGGACACATTTATATGTACACTATAGCTATGTGTTTCTCTCGTAACATATTTACTATCGATTACTTAAATTGACTTGGTAGTGTAAAAAGGGAGAGGTTCAGTTCAATATCTACAACGAAGAACTACACTGAACCACACAAAGTGCCAAGTAATTTATGGGAAATTTTCGAAATATAGGATGTGATCACAAAGGGCTCTTACCTTGAACAACTGGCTTTCTGTCAATACTAATCCATGGTACAAATTAGCGAACGGAGGATTAACTCCATCTTTTAATTGGTCTTGAGGAGCTGATTTAGTAGCAGACGTTAAAATATCAGCCACTTCCAGTAAATCTTTGCAGAAACTTTGGATACCGAATAGTTTGGCTTCATCTATCTGTTTCATCAAACGTTTACGCATGTTTTCGGACTCGGCGAGAGCCCTTTTATATTTGTCATCTAAATCATTATATCTTTCAGTTATTTTCTGCATTTCAGTCTTTAAGGACTCTATTTCTTTATCACTTTCCTTCGGCGTTGACTCTCCAACGGCTTCTGTGCTAAATTTACGATTGAGATGCAATCCAAAGTAGCCTTTTCCAATAGAAGTCACAGGGCAACTAGTGTAAAAAAAATAGACAAAAACGAAAACTTACCGAAACTGCTCCAAGTGTGTAGTATTTAAATTAACACTGCGCGAAAACCTGGCAACAATGTTTAGCGCCATAATAAAATTGTAAAAATTAGTTCGCTGTACAGATGATCAAATATATTACGTCAAAGGAACGAGTCCTATACAAAAGTAAATACAATAGTGCGTTGACATACAATATTATATATATATATATATATATATATATATATATATATATATATATATATATATATATATATATATATAGTGGTATGAAATACACTAAGTTCTATTATAATTATTTAAACATCTCGGGAATACGTGAACATGCTTTCACACTAGCAATTTATTCATTCAGGTTATGTAAAACAGACAAAACCAATTAAATAAATTTATTTCGTAACTGTCTTAATAAACCTAATTTTGTATAGTGTGTCTTAGGTAATACCAAGTTAGATCCAAGCAAAAGCTCGTTTTTAAAAAATGAAATATGCTGTGATCCTTATGCTGACAGGTCACATACAGATAGTACTCCGTATCTTCTTAAAGATCAGTGTTTACCATGAAAGGAAGTCTTTCTATGAATAAGTAACAGAAAACCTGTAGGGTTTCGGTAAGACACTGTTGGTCGTTATTATCCCTTCCAAACAAAATTCGTGATATTGGACATAACTAAAACGAGGTGCATCTTCTGATTCTGAAGATAAGGAGAGAGTAAACGGGACGCTATCTGGATGGAAACTTGTGGGAAGTGTACAGCAAGGTACGACTTGGACTTTGCGCTTCGAGATGGCAAATATGGTCCAAAAGTTGATGCTTGAAGATTAACCCTAGTAACAGTTCACCAACGTATATTGGTCACCGTAATTATCAAGGTACTATTGACAAGACATTAGGTTTTGTGTAACAGTCACATCACAGAAACTTTGACGTTGACATGTATAGGACTTCATCTGAGTGAGACCATATCTGAAATATTGTATTCTGGCGGCTAATACATGTCTCATTACTGGAATAAATTCGATGGGTTTACTAAATACGAGCTTACGCAGTCGGATATCGATCACATTGCAAGAGGGCTAGTGATACTCGCCGAAACCCAAAAACTTATAACATAAAGACTAGACACCAATTGTCAGACCACTCTCATTAAAAGTGCCTCTAAATTGTAAGTAATAAGTTGATGACAGAACTTTCCAATCTTTTCCATGAAGACTAGTCGACCCCTAATCTTTTTGCTTGATCCACGACAACCTGTTTCGGGCGCTAGTACAGATATGTCCAGAAAGCGCGGTCGGGATAACCTAGATTGCTTGTTTTCCCAGTTGGAAGATGAGAGGGTATGTTTTAACAACATGCTCCAACAGCGGCCGCGTTCAGTATCCACATAGATAATTGACACCCCCGAGTACCCTAAAACGGCAGAGGGTTTGGAAGGATTGCTCTCCTCAAAACGATTCCGTATGGACACGCACATGTATCCACTGCCCAGAAAGTCCTACACACTGGCTTTTCGCGGCGGCGGACGAAATGCAATATTCGGTCTTCAAAATGTGTTGTTGAGTATGGATTTGGAAAACCCCAATTCTAATGCTGTGGTGCACATAGGCCCCACGATACTGAGCGAACAAATGGCATATAAACCTACTCTTGGTCAACGGCTACCATAGGACTGTGTCCTCTGACCTTGCTCTCTTGCGTTATGGGTTAGATCTATGGATTAAAGGCTCATGAAGTGACCCCCTAGGAAACCATGCGTTTCAGTTCTGGCATTCAAGAATCATTCCAGTCTACACACAAATTTTGTGTGGCACATATTTATTTTAGTGCCTTTTCGTACCCATGTTTGTGTTTAAATAAATAATAAAATAGATGACCGACATATTTCTGCTATCTTTGTTGAAGACGTTAGGTTGTATTCTAAGTCTGTGAAGTTTGACTTTTGGACGCCTACCTTCATTGTCCAGATCTAGATGTTACTTTAACATTGTGCAGTACGTAATATAACATACTCTTTGAGTAAAGACACAATTTAAGTGAGAAAGATTCTGAAAAGTCATGGAAATCCTGGCCGAAAACCAAATAAAGTTTATGGAACAAAATGGAGGTACTAACGAGACATGATGGCTTCAGGAAAGGTAGGTTGTGAACTTAAAATATCTTGATAGTGTAGGACAGCCTGATAAACCAGCGAGATTGGAAAGTTGACTGATACCGCTTATTGATTTCGACAAGGCATTCAATATCGTTACCAAGTATCCTGTTTATTATTATTAATTTATTTCAACACATAAATATTGGTACAAGAGGGTACCAAATATTTCGAGAGGGAGGGAGGGCCCACCCCACTCTCGGCCATACCAGGGCATTTGGGGGCTCCAACTTTCCTGACTATAAAGGCAATGGCTTGGGTCTGAATTACCACTCATATCTTGGATGTGAAGGAATTCTATGACAGTGTCGATGTCCAGTGTACAGCACGAAGCAATTCTAAGCTATAACCTTTTTCGTATATTTATCAGTGATTAGTCAGTATTTAGTTCGCTGGTACACCGCTACTTGTAAGATTGTAAACAAACATTAGATGCGAGGACTCCGGGAGAACTGTAGGAAGATTTAAAGTTACTGGAGTGAATAAAAGCCCCCGCTTCTGCTGGGGGTTAAAAATTGGTTGGCGAATACAGAGATCTTCACGAAAATAATAGAAATTGTTATTAACGAAACAGTTTTTAGTGAATACCATAGAAACTGCGAACCGTATGCAAAGCGATGTCACATTAATTTTGTTATCTACAATCAAGTTACTGAATATATTTAAGAGATCCACCAGTGACTAGTCACTGGTTGTTATTAAAGTGTGAATAACTGAGTATGACCCAGTCTCCCTACTTTGGGTAAGTTTTGGGGTTTTCCCTAAAGTCCTAATAAATATGGTAGTTTTCATTAAAGTTTGGGGAGAAACCCCAGTGTCATAAGGTCCTGCGTAGAACCCAAAATTTCACCGAACGCTTTGACGATTTCCCCAAACCTGGGAGAATTTAGGGGTTTCTATGCCATTTCCCCAAAACAGACAAAACTTTCTCCAAAATAGGAAGATTGGAGTGTTTCGGTGTTACGAACGAGTTTAGTTCTAATGTCTCAGTTACTGACATATAAACATACAGTAGCTTGCAATTTTTATACTAAAATTCGTGAGTATGGTAACTAACAGCATCATTTTCATGCGTCAACTCACTCGGAATTCCTAAGCGTTCAACTATAACGTTTAGCCTCTGACTGATTTATGTATGGCCAAAGTTATGTTGGGTGCTGAGGAGGTGAAGGCAACTCACAACAATAGCGAGATTAAGACGGCTTGATAAACAAGAACCGAAGTTAGCAGAGCAAGAACACAAATGCGTTACAACGCAACAGTTTCAATATAGCGGTAATTGATCTCCAACTGGCCTTCACGTGCCAATGAAGCTCTAGTTCAGTTTGCATCGGGTAAGTCGTTATATTGCACAAAAGTAGGCCATCATCCGTATTTCGATTTCGTACCCAACAAAAGTTATAGAAAACCTACAACAACAGATGTATGGAAAGCTAACATATCAGCCATTCAGGAATTCCTGGGACATCACATTGATTCCCAAGGAATCAAACCGCTTGAAGAAAAAGTCGAAGCCATAGTCAACTTTCCCGAGCCCAAATCTATCAAGGCATTACTCCGGTTCCTGTTGATGTGGAATTTTTACCGACGTATTCTCCCTCGCTGTGCGGCCATTTTGCAACCTTTGACGGATTTACTGAAGATGGATAAAACCGCATCTCAGACCAAAAAAGAGAATACCTTCACGTTAACGGTCGAGGCCGGACAGGCTTTCGCTAAAGCGAAATTGATGACATCCAATGCTACCATGCTACAGCATCTAAACACCGGCCCCACAACGCACCTTATCCTCTGCACTGACGCCTCTCAGAAAGCAGTAGGAGCAGTATTACATCAGTGCGTTAATGACAAGATTACTCCTAAAGCGTTCTTTTCCAACGGATTATTGCAAACTCAAGAGCGTTATAACACCTTCGGACGTGAACTTCTGGCTATGTATTTAGCTGTAAAACATTTCAACTTCCTGCTACAAGGCCGTGATTTCTGTATTATGACTGATCATAAATCCCTTTGCTACTCCTTTAACACGTCGTACGACAAGCATTCCCCACAGGAAGCCAGTCAACTGGATTATATTTCTCAATTCACTACGGACATCCAGTTTATCAAAGACTCCTCCAACATTGTCGCAGACACTATCTAGAAAGGATATCAACATGATGGTACACAACCACAACATCAGCCTCGAAGCTTTAGCTAAACTACAAGTGGACGATGCAGATTTGAAGACCTGCAAAGAGAAGTCTAACTTGAGTCTTAAACCTGTACCCATTCCTTTCTCAGATGCATCTATTATTTGCGACACTTCAATGGGTAACGATCGCCCCTTTGTGTCACAACCCTGTCGACGAAAAATATTTCAACAGCTACATGGACTGTCGCATCAGAGCTACCACAAAGCTTATCACAGAACGTTTTGCTTGGCCAAAAATCAATTCGGATGTTAAACGTTGGACACGTGGCTGCTTACAGTGCCGACGCAGAAAAATCGGGAATTCCATATTCCCGATAAACGTTTTCAATATATTCATTTGGACTTAGTTGGGCCACTGCCTCCATCCAAATCCTTCACCCACATTCTCACCGCAGTAGACAGGTTTACTGGGTGGGCCAAAGCCTCCCCCATAAAAGACACTTCGGTAGAAACAGTCGCTTTAGTCTTTCTCGACCGCTGGATATCTAACTTTTGGGGTACCATCAATAATCACAACAGATCGTGGTCCCCAATTTCAGTCTGTCCTTTCTCAGGAGTTCACTAAACTTCTAGGGGGTTGGGTGAAAGATCCCATCGCCAATTAAAAAGCTCACTGATGGCGCAAGTTGACTAATCAACGTAAAGCGATGCCTTGCCGCTTGTACTCCTCGGTATTCGTTCAACCATGAAGGAAGACGTTGGACGTACAGCCATCGAGTTAGTCTATGGTACAACTCTAACGTTACC